GGAAATAGACAGAAAAGTAAAACATAAGGAAGACTCCAGCTGCTGCAGAACGGCTCGGAAGGCAGCTCACCGTGAAGTCTCGAGGTGGGGATCAACTACGAGCGCCGGATGAGTAACTAGATGCACCTGCCTCAGATCCTGTACAATTAAGTATAGAAGTGTAGTATGAGTACATAAACAACATGTACCCAGTAAGTACCCGGTCTAACCTCAAAGAAGTAGTGACGAGGGGTCGACTTTGACACTTACTATGGGCAAAAAATAATATAATCAAAGTATTATACTAAGCATGGATTTCATGAATAATACCGAAAGCTCAATAGCATGAAATGATAAGTTCTTCTCTCACAAATATAAATTTTAAATTCATTTATATCATTTAACAGCTTGCATTTCAAGACATTTAAGAAATTACAATCTCGGAGAGTTCCAAAGAATTATAATGCGCAAATTATGCCAAGGTCGCACGGACCGATCCAATATAATATTTAAACTATGCACTGTAGGAGGATCGAACGGCGCGAACCATAGATGCATCTAATTACTACCGAGGCCCGATCCACATATAACAATTTATTTCAAGGGAAAACACTAAGTCACATTTACAGTCAAGTAAGTGAATTTAACCTTTTACACTTCTTTTATCAAGTTTTGACGACTTAAGTAATTGAATTAGCAAGTAAGGGCGCAAACATTTCAAGTAAAGCATGATACGGGTCCTAAACTACCCGGACAATAGCATAATAGTAGCTACGTACGGACTCTCGTCACCTCGTACGTACTTAGCCCTCAGAAGTAAGTACACACATTTATTTAATTCACCTATGGGGTTAATTCCCTCTTACAAAGTTAGAAAGGAGACTTACCTCGTCTCAAGGCCTACTTCCAAATTCAAGAATGCGATCAAATCCTCAAATCGGACCCGAACAAATCCAAAACAATTTAAATAGTGTAAAAACTAATCAATATGTGTTCAAAATTTTATATTCTAAATATCTAAGTGACTACCCATCCCAAAATGCAAGATTCCTAAAATTTACCACCGGGCCACGTGCCCGAATTCCGCAAAAGTTCGAAGAAAGTTGTTACCCATGCCTTAAGGAACATAAATATATGATTTTTACTAAGTTCCATAATCATTTTCGTGGTAAAATCCCATTTTTCATTAAACCCTAGGTTTTTCATCTAAACCCATGATTTCTACCAATTTTCATGTTAAAATCTACCCATAATCTATGTATTAAACTCACATTAAGTAGAGATTACTTACCTCACAAAGCTAGGTCGAAATCCCCTCCTTAAAAGCTCTCCAATCGCCCAAATGTGAAAGAAAATGTGATAAAAATTGGCCTAATTAAGCCCGTATTAAATGAGGCTCACTGCCTCAGCAATTTTCGAACCTGCGGTCGAGGGCCACACTTGCTCCCTCGCTTCTGCGGACAAGAGTCTGCTTCTGCGAAAATGGCCTGGGCCGGCTGGCGTCGCACCTGCAGACGGGTACCCGCTTCTGCGGTCCCGCTTCTGCGAAGGATGGACGCATCTGCGGAACCTGGGCTGCCCTTCCTTGGCCGCTTCTGCGATGCTTAGCCCACACCTGCGAGCTTGCACCTGCGGCTGACCAAGAGCAGGTGTGGTTATGATAGATCTGGGGAGCTTCAGCTCTTGCTCCAAGTTTCCAACTTGGTCTGAGTCTCGTCCGATTGACACTCGGGGCCCCCGGGGCCCTCCCGAACATACCAACAAGTTTGAAATCATAATATGGACTCACTCAAACTCTTGGAACGCCTGAAACAACATTAGAACTAAGAATCACACCCTAAAACCAATTGAATCAAACTTAAGAACTTCAAGTTCTTCAATTTACTTCCAATGCGCCGAAACGTACTTATTACTCGGAATGACACCAAATTTTGCGTGCAAGTCTTGAGTAATATTACGGAACTATTCCAAGGTATTGGAATTCCGTTTGGACCTCGATATCACCAAAACCTGCTCCAAACCAAATTTTAAAGAACTTCTAAAACCTTCAAAAATCAACTTTCACTATTAGGCGCCAAAATGCTCCCAGGCCATCCAAAATCCGATTCGAACATACGCCCAAATAAGAAATCATCATACGAACCTATTGGAACCCTCAAATCTTGATTCCGAGGTCGTTTACTCAAAATATTGACCGAAGTCAAACTTGGTTTTTTAAGCCAACCTTAAGGAACCAAGTGTTCCGATTTCAACCCGAACTCTTCCAAATCCCGAACTAACCATCTACGCAAGTCATAAATCAGAAAAAAAAGTACGAGAAGTCTCATTTAGGGGAACAGGGTACTAAAAAGCAAAACGATCGGTCGGATCGTTACAAACCTGGTGGTAAATCAACAACTTCCAAGTTTTATTTGAAATTAGTGACTCCATTTCATCATTTACAGCATCTTTCTTAAAAATAGCATCAGGTGATAATAAAGCTTCTTGTAAAGTAAGAGGGTCATTTTTAATAATAAAAATATAAAAATCAGGACCAAAATCTTTTTCTATTATAGTTCTTACTTCTTCTTAACTCAAAAGCATCATTTTCTTCATTTTGCAAAATAGAAGTAGAAGAACTAGGCATATAAAAATAAATATCAAACTTGAATACAAAGTTGTCCATGACAATGGCGATAACTGTTCCTCTCGGCGCACAATAGCAAAGTTTGCAATTGTCACCAGAATTAATGGCTCGTCGGGAAAACCTTGCATGGCACTGTTACGCAGATGGAGAAGATGATTACTCCAGAAAATGGCGTTCAAATGGAATTACCTCCCCTAACTTTTGGTAGTTTTCTTCCGCAGAAGTATCAATCGATTGAGGAAGGTCATGAAACGAGTAGCTCTAAAGGTGAGATTCAACTTCAACCGGTAAAAATGGAAGAAGTGATGAAATGAACAGTGAGATGTTTACAGTACTCAGAAGCTAGTGGATCAGAGAAGTCAACACCTACGGCAGCTGATATCGTTCGAGGAAACCGCAACTCACAAATAGGAAAAACACTATCATTTGTACCTCCAATTGATAGAGATGGTAAGAAAATCGTTAAACTGTGTGAGGAAGATTTACAATCTCAGGAGAATTATTGGAAAACTACTCTAATTGGCTATATAATTGGAGAAAATCCGTATGAGAAAGCTCTGGAGAATTTTGTGATGAATGTTTGGAATTTTGTTACAAAACCTCAGATCCTGTTGCATGCTGAGGGATACTGTATTTTTAGATTTAGCACCATAGTTGATAGAGATCAAGTTCTTCAATCAGGACCTTACACGTACAGAAACAAACCTATGGTACTAAGACTATGGGAAATTGATTTTTCATTCAACAAAGATGTTCTCAGTACAGTTCCAGTATGGGTAAGGTTCCCTGGGCTGCCAGTGGGATTTTGATCGACTGAAGCACTTAGCAAAATGGCAAGTGCAATCGGAAAACCATTATACACTGATAAATTTACTGCTCACTATGAGAAGATATCCTATGCTAGAATCCTGGTGGAGGTGGATGCTGCTTATCCCTTACTAGATCAGATAGAGATAGAATCGCCTTATGGTCCAATGATACAAGTGATTGAATATGACTGGAAGCCTAGTTTTTGTAATGATTGCTTAAAGTTTGGGCATGATTCTATGGACTGCTGGTATAACACAAAATGTGATGAGGAGCATGAGATAAAGGAAGGTGATAGGCAGAAAGGGCAGAGGAGAAGAGGAAAGAAGCAGGGGAAGAATGTGAAGCAAGCCTGGCTGGTCAAACAACCTCAAGTGAATGCAGATCTTCAAGAAGGAGTAATGACAGTACAAGAAGATACACAAGAGAGAGACTGTTTAGAAAAGGTGAATGATAGTAAGGAAAATGCACAACAGATTGCTTATGTGCCAAATTCAGGAAGAGAAGGAAATGATGTACATGGGATTGTCTGTAAAGGTGCAGAGATGGGAAAACAGATTGAAAAGGGCAAAAGTATTGATGTGAATGAGGATATAGGCAGTAGTGATCAACAAATTGATCCAGGACCACCAGACCCTCTAATACCCAAATGATCATTGTTACTTGGAATATTAGGGGGCTAAATCAAGCCCATAAGCAAAAAGAGATAAAAACTCTTATTGATACTAATAAAGTAGATATTATGGGGTACATAGAAACTAGAGTAAAGGAGCATAAAGCAAAGAAAATCCAAAAAAAGATAGCTACAGGATGGAATGTGTGTTGTAATTACTCATATGCTGTGAATGGGAGAATCTGGTTACTTTGGAGAAGTCATATTCAAGTGCTAGTGAGTCACATGACAGATCAATTCATCCATTGTAGTGTTGAAGATCCTAGTACTCATTTTAAAGCCCAGCTTAGTGTCATTTATGCTCAAAATGGTGGACACAAGAGGGAGAGTTTATGGAGGGATCTCAGGCAGATTAAAATTTCAAGTCAGGAGACATGGTTGCTGAGTGGTGACTTTAATAATATTTTATCCTATGAAGATAGAATAGGTTCTCCTGTAATTGTTGCTGAAGTACAGGGATTTAAAGGAATGATTGATGATTTGCAACTCACCCCACTGAGAGCTAAGGGGTGGCACTATACTTGGACAAATAAGCAAGGAACTGGGAATAGAGTGTATAGCAAGATAGATTGGGCACTAGGAAATTATCAGTGGATTCAACAGTATGGGCATGTGGAAGCAGATTATATGAATCCATCAGTATCTGATCATTTTCCTATTCTTATAAAATATGGCAGCCAGAAATTACTACACCCTAAGCCGTTTAGACTATACACAAATGTTATGGACCATCCACAATTTCAAAATATAATTCAGCATGTATGGGATCAAGATTATGAAGGAGCACCTATGCAGCAGTTTTGGTGCAAATTGAAGAATCTGAAAGAGCAACTTAAGGGGATAAATGCTTATATGGCTTCATACAAGCAAAAACTTGAGTAGGCAAGAGAGAAACTGGATATTGTGTAAAGTCAAATGAGGCAGAATCCTTTGGCACGGTCCCTTATAAATGTAGAGAAAGCAGCATTAGGTGAAATAGAAAAATGGAGCACTGTGGAGGAGCAAGTTCTGAGGCAGAAATCGAAGGCATGCTGGATTGAGTGTGGTGATGCAAATACAAAATATTTTCATGTACAATGGAAGATCAGATCCAGTCAAAACAGTATAACTGCCATTTATACAGATGCAGGTGTGAAGCTAATAGAAGCCAGACTTGTTGAGCAGGAATTCATAACTGTATTTCAGTCCTTAATGGGAGATAGTGCTGGTGAACTACCTTGTGCAAATACAACTGTAATAAGGGAAGGACCATGCTTAACTGTGGATCAACAAAGAATATTGATTCAAATGGTGACAATGGAGGAGATCACTGAAGCAGTCAAGGATATGCCTAAAGATAAAGCACCAGGGGTTGATGGATTTCCTGTGGAATTCTTTACAAGAAACTGGGAGATAGTGAAAGAGGATATTTTGAAGCTGTTAAGGACTTTTTTAGTGCAAACAGGTTACCTAGTATGATAAATACAACAGCCATTACATTAGTCCCTAAAGTGAAAGCACCAGCAACAGTAAAAGACTATAGGCCAATTGCTTGTTGTACTACCTTGTACAAGATCATCTCTAAAGTCATTACAAGGAGGATAAAAGGAGTTCTTGATGGACTAATTGACCAGTCTCAATCAGCTTTTATTGAAGGAAGGAGTATAGTAGACAATATTCTGCTAAGTCATGAGATATTTAAAGGATATGCTAGGAAAGGAGTCTCTCCCAGATGTATGCTGAAAGTGGATCTAAGGAAAGCTTATGACACTTTGGAATGGAGTTTCCTCAAGCAAATGTTGATAGACCTTGGGTTCCCTTTCAAATTTGTACAATGGATAATGACTTGTGTCACTACTGTTTCATATTCATTAGTGCTAAATGGAGGATTGACTAAACCTTTTAAGGGGAAGAGAGGAATTAGACAAGGAGATCTTATGTTTACTTACTTATTTGTTATTGCCATGGAGTATCTGAGTAGAGAACTAAAACAGTTGCATAAAAATGGGGATTTTAACTTCCATCCAAAGTGTAGGAAGCTGAACAGCACACATATGTGCTTTGCTGATGATTTGCTAATGTACTGTCGAGCTGATATGGAGTCCATAAGGATTCTAAATAATGCTTTCTACAGATTTTCACATGCTTCTGGATTACAGGCAAATGTAAGTAAGAGTGCTATATACATGGCTGGGGTATATCAGAAGGCCAGAGAAGAAACCCTACAAACATTGGGTTTTATTGAAGGAAAGCTGCCTTGTAGATACTTGGGCATTCCTTTAGACTCAAAAAAACCTAACTATTGCTCAGTACTTGCCTCTAGTTGAGAAGAAAACAGCAAAGGTTACCTGTTGGTCAGCAAAGCTCTTATCTTATGCAGGAAGGTGTCAATTGATAAAGGCAGTCATATTTGGTATACAGACTTACTGGGCTCAGGTGTTCATTATCCCAAAAAAGGTGCTGAAAATGATTGAAACCATATGCAGGATATTTTTATGGACAGGCAGTGTAGCTATCTCAAAGAAGGCACTAGTAGCTTGGGAGAATGTATGCAAACCAGTAGCAGCTAGAGGCCTAAACATATTGGATATCAAAGTATGGAACAAAGCAGCAGTTACTAAGCACTTATGGGATCTAACTAGAAAGAAGGACTGCCTATGGATGCGATGGGTTCATAGTTTTTATATAAAGAAGAAGGATCTGGACACAATGCCTACTCATAAGATAGCAGCTTGGGTAATAAGGAAGATACTGGATAGCAGGGAAGTGATTATGAGGCATCAACAACTCCAAAGGACCATGCATGAAAGGCTAAAGAGTCTGTGTAAGAATGGAAAGTTTCAAATCAAACAGATGTACTTGAAGCTGATCCCAAAGTATTGCAAAGTGTAATGGAAGGGCTTAATGTTGCATACAAGTGTGCATCCGAGGTACAGATTCATCTTGTGGCTTGCAGTGCAGAAGAGGCTAGCCACAGTGGATAGATTGCTGAAGCTTGGTATTACTGTGCCAACAGACTGTATATTCTGTAGGCATAGTATAGAGACATTCAACCACCTATTTTTTGAGTGTCCAATAGCAAAGAGTTTGTGGACTAAACTGTGCCTATGGCTGGGACATAAAAGAAATATAGGAGACTGGGAATTTGAATTGAAATGGATCAGCAAGAAGGCAAAAAGCAGGGCAGGTATCAATGGCATCATATGTTGTGTTTTTGCCATGACAGTTGCACTGATATTGAGAGAAAGGAACAAAGGCAGATTTGAGGATAGCAAATATGATGAACACCAAATTTGCAAGGAAATAGTGTTGCATATACATGTTCGAGGAAAGCATAACAGAAAATGGAGAGAGTTGCTGCAAAAACTGCACTGGATTCCATGAAGAACAAATGTATAGATAGAACTAGAAAGGTATAAATGAGATACTAGTGTCTGTATTGGTAGTTATAGTTAGTTAGACACTTTGTTTTACTTTGTCATAGTATAAGTGATGTAAAGGGGTAGTAGCGAGTCAAAGCTACTACTAGGAACCAACTTGTAATATTTTTTGAGTATCAATAGAATATAATTTTAACTCAAAAAAAAAAACTAGACATATACAAAAAATTATCTTTATCTCTTTGACCCCCATTATTTTTAGACTCAAATGGAAATTTATTTTCATGAAAAATAGCATCACCAAATTCAATAATTAATTCTCTTCAAGATTTTAAAATCTATAGGTTGTACTATTAGAAGCATAACTAAGAAAAGCACAAGTGACAAATTTTTTTACCCAATTTTATAATTTTAGGATACGTTATCCTAACATAGGCTAAACAGTCCCAAACTCTCAAATAACCCAAATTTGGCTTATAATTTTTCCACAACTCAAATGGTATCAATTTTGTTTTCTAATGAGGCACCATATTCAACACATAACACGCAATCAAAATAGCTTCACCCCACAAATTTATAGGCACATTTGACTCAATAAGCATGACATTAGTTAACTCTACAAAAGTTCAATACACCATTTGATGCAGGAGAATAAGGTGGAGTAGTTTCATGAATTATTCCCAATGATCTAACAAAAGAATTAAATTCACTAGACTCATATTCACGGCGTCTATCACTTCTAATTCTTTTTATTTTTCTACCGAATTGATTTTTAACCTCATGGAGATAATTTTTAAAATTTGCAAATGCATCACTTTTATTTTTCATCAAGTAAGCATATGTGTACTTAGATAAATCATTAATAAAAGTGATAAAATATCTATTTCCTCCACGAGTTAAAATTCTTCCAAGTTCACAAATATCAGTGTGAACTAATCCTAACAATTCAGTTTTTCTTTCAACTTGGAAATGAGGCCTTTTAGTTATTTCAGCTTTACTACAAGCCTCACATTTTTCAAAAATCTTTCTAATCATTGGAATAAATCTTAAACTACTCATGATTCCCACATAACGATTATTAATATGACACAAACGAACATGCCAAAAATTAGTAGAAGAAAGCATATAAACAGAACTAGAAGAAGTTTTATTCATCTCAACATTCAACTTGAACAACCCATCACATGCATACCCCTTACCCACAAAAATACTCTTTTTCACTATTACATATTGATCACTCTCAATAATTTGTTTAAAGCCTGCATTGTTAATAAGAAAATTAGACATCAAAGTTTTTCTCATTGAATGAGTATAAAGTACGTCTTTCAACGTTTATACTCTTCCTAAAGTAAACTTCAACTCGACCTCTCCCTTTCCAAGCACCTGGGTTGCGTGAGAATAACCAAGCATGATGATTTTGGGCTCCTCAAATGGAGTATACACTTTAAACAAATCTCTATAATAGCAAACATGACGGTTTGCTCCAGAATTAGCCCGACATCCATCAACATTTTCTACCATGTTAATGTCTGTTAACACCGCCACAAGTGGATCTTCGGTAACGTTTGCCTGTGGTGTAGGACCACGCTTCCGAAATTTGCAAAATTGAGCAATATGCCCACTCTTACCACAGACAAAGTATGGTTTCGCAATATGAACTTGTTGATTCTGTGCTTGGTTGTTTGCACTATTATTCTTCTTGAGAGGTCTACCATAGTTTTTCTTAAAGTCTTCTTCTTCGGCTTCAAAGAAGTATTTTTGTGAATTTCAGGAGTAATATTATTTGAAGTAATTAAATTTACCTTTGTAGTGACATGTTGTAGTGCTATCTTCCGATTGCATAAGTGCATCTTGGCCTCTTGCCTCTTCTTCCATGCGAATCTGCATTATCAATGCCTCAAGTGAAGTTTCCTTTTGTTTATGGCGCATAGTTTTTTGAAATTTCTTCCTTGAAAGTAGAAGTTTATCTATTATGCCACAAACAATAAGGTTGTCTTCAATTTTAATATCCTCGGACCTGAGTTCTCCAACGATCATTATGAAGTCTTGAGCTTGGTCTACTACAGATGTGTTGTCCACCATTTGAAAACGAAAAAAATCTACTAGCAACATATTTTGTCGCACCTGCCTCCTCGGTATCATACTTACTCTGCAATGCTTTCCATATCAGATAGACAATTAAGAAGATAATACCTACACTTGTATGAATATATTGTTATATTTTTTAATTTTTTCTTGAAGGGCAATTAGCTCATCATCATTCATGGAGGAGTTGTCTACTTTGCTTGGATTCTTCTAAGTTTTAAGAAACATTGAGAAGACTCAAATAAAAAAGTATTTTACCCTTCCATCTCTTGAAATGAGTACCGTTGAAATGGAATGCCTTGTTGAGATCTCCCACCTTAATATCCGCGGATTTTTCAAATGCAGCCATAATGAATCTCCTTAAAATTATTGGTGAAAATATAATTACAATTGAAAAATAAAATATCTTCTGGCTGAGGCGCGGATATCTCGCTCTTTTTAAGGAGATTCAAGCCCATTGCAGCAAAGTCTTCACTGGTCCAGCAGTAATCCTCTTGACTTGTCTCCCTCAGGATAAAATATCCCGATCACGTCGTATGACTCGAACAAACTCTGAACAGGTTGTCGCGTCCAAAGCTCCACCAAGATGAACACCTTCCTTCAACAAAGTAAAAACTCTCTTCTTCTTTTTTTACAACTCTAACCTCACTTTATTGAAACACTTTACAATTATTTTCCACACACATTATCAAAGAAAGACTCTTATTTATAGGTGTAAAAATTCTTCCTTGAATTAAATTGGAAGAAAGTGGGGTAGCAAGTTATGAAATCATGGAGAACATGGGATAATGGATAAATTAGTAATTAGTAGTAGAACATGGGAAAAGAGTTACAAAAGAGTTATGGCCATTTTCTACATCATGGAGTAGCGAGAGTTATGGGATACACTTCTATGTATCTCATGATTCTTCTCTCTGAAATTCTCCGTGATTCGAGTGCTTGAGAAGTGTCTTTCTCGAATGTAGGATGATGCGGACCTCCTTGTGATGTATTTAATTTCCAAGAACGTCGATCAACACTTTGTTGTTTCGGGTTGATCTTCAGGAAGAACTCCGTTGATCACTCCTTTGTTAAAGAACTTTGCACTTAATGATTGATCTCTCTGTTTGTGGATGCCTTCACTAATTGCCGAATGCTCTTCACCATCTCTGAATGTCTAGTGAGTTATATAACCCTTCTATTTATAGTGGTAGAGGATGGACAGTCCATCTACATATGTATGCTCTTGCTTGATTCTGGTTGGCTCATGTGAGTCATCAAACTTATCACATAAACTATATGATAAGCTTGTTTGTGATTGGCCCGGACATGTCATTGTAGACACTTGAAAACTCTTGATTGGTTACTGTTTTGGATATTGCCACATCATTTAACACGTGACGTCATCTGGTTGGCTTTGAGTTTGACTGAATATGCCACGTCACTTGACATATGGCATGAGTATGAGCCTTAAGATAAAATGGACTATGGGCTTAAAAATAATAAAATGGACTAATTTAATTTGTAAAATTCAAATTAAATATTTAACCCAATTAAATTTTACGGAAAGGGGTTAAAAATGTCCCTAAACTATTGAAAAAGGTTTAAAAATATTCTTCATCCATCTATTGGGCTAAAAATACCCTTCATCTACCTTTTTGGTTCACTTATGCCCTTTGACTATTAGGTCAATATTGAATTAAAAATAATAATTATTTTAATCCACGTGGCAACTTCTTATTGGTCGAAATTAAAACATCTAACCTATTAGAAAGGCCCACCCATATCTACCCGTTTTCGGGCTAATCAGCCCCGAAACACTAACCCGACCCGAATAAAAAGTTCAACTAAAAAAAAATGCCCCACTTCCTAACCACAATGCAACGCTGGTTATAATCTTAAATAAACTTAGCTAATCAAAATAAAATCAAGATCGGATAATTATACTTCCACATCGCAACAATTACGAAAAATTCGCCAATGCCGAAACGCTATACTACAGGGATATGGTGACGTATCCTGTAACCTAGCGCTCAAAATGTTTCCAGAAACTTCTAATGAATTTTGCCAAAGAAAAACTAATCATTCGAACAAGTTTCATTGCAGTTCTATAAAAAAGTCAAGTCATCAAACTTTCTCTGTTATTTTTCCATACGTTGTTCAAAAATTCGCCATCAGTATTGACTATCAGGAAGAAAATAATCATTTCTGAACACCGAACTTAAACAAAATTACTTACTAGAAATCAAACTATACTTCCATAGATAGAATTAGTACCTCCATTCGGGAGAAGAGAGAATTCCCCGTGAAGAAATTGTGGTTGGGAAGTGGGGCATCATTTTTTTAGTTGAACTTTTTATTCGGGTCGGATTAGTATTTTGGGGAGGGTTAGTCCGAAAAACATGTAGATATGGGTAGGTCTTTTTAATAGGTTAGATGTTTTAATTTCGACCAATAAGAAGTTGCCACGTGGAATTTAAATAATTATTATTTTTAATTCAGCATTAACCTAACAGTCAAAGGGCATAAGTGAACCAAAAAGGTGGATGGAAAGGTATTTTTAGCCCAATAGGTGGATGAAGGGCATTTTAAACCCTTTCTAATAGTTTAGGAGTATTTTTAACCATTTTCCGTTTTTTTAAAATATCTCGGACCACTAAGTATCGGGAGATTCGTCTTCATACTCTCCTCTCATCGAACCATCAGTATGATACTAGTTTGTTGCCTAACTCAATCCAAAGACGCTTGGGGTGAGATATATAACTTAATTATATTTCTTATTAATTTTTTATGTGGGGTTTTGTTAACAGGCTCAACATGGAAAGGGAATGAAAGGAAAAGGCAAGGAGAGCATCAAACAAGGGTAAAACGTTACATTTCATGAATGCAAGTGGAGAATTTTAGCACAAAGCTCGCAGTTATTTAAATCCTCCATTTTGT